AACGGGCCAGAAATAACGAGTTTTATCAGCATCAGTTCACCTTCCTTTATTTCCCTCACCCATCTTCTCTGGTGGGTATTCTGTGGAGTGGTGAAGCAACCAGATATGGGATGGTGAGGAGGGGGCACGATTCATATCATAAATAATCAACTATGGTATTAGGACTGACGTCCTGTGTTCAGAACATACCCTCTCAGGCTCTCCGTCTCTCACACAAACTTTGTTAATATTAGGGACTTAGTCAATTCATTCTAGGAAAGTAAAAATTATTTCTCTACTTAAAAACCTTCGGAGATGACCTTCTGATTCAGATTAAACCACCCTCTGACTAGCCTCAGTCCTCTTCACTCCCCACAGCAAACCTGGTGGGTCAACCAATCCTGGCCTCCTCGCACTCTCTGTGATACCCCTCCTCTTCTCTTCCCTTGCTCATGACACTCTAGGACCTGGAATATTCTTCTTTCCTGGCAATACATCCTCTCTTCCACCCGGAAATCTCCACTATTAAGACCCAAGTCAGGTGATGCCCCTGCCTGACGAGTGAGGATAAGTCACCTCATCTCTACTCCCACAGCCCTTCGTGCACAGCAATCCCTGTGATGATAGTCAGTGAATGCGAATTGGAAGAAAGGGTGATAAGAGGGTCGGGCATAGCTAAACACTGCTCTGCTGTACCTTCTCGGGATGCTAAGTCAAACCAGCTGACGGAGCTGCATTTCCAGCCAAGCCTGAGCGGCAGACTTTTCAGGCAGGGGGAGGGTCTTGCACTCCTGTCTCCTGGTCATCTGCTCAGCCGTGTCTCCAGACAGTGCTGGTTCAGCAATTACACATTTGGTCTCTTCCCTGAAGGCTCCCTCCTTTCTGGTGTCGAGTGGAAACCAAAACATTTCCTGGAAAAAATCAGAAAATGTATGGATCTTGTCAGACTTCTTAAAAATTGATACAACAGCAGGTTGAGTGGACTCAGAGGATGGAGCGCAGAAATGAATTTTTCATTTATTCACTAGGAAGCAAGCTATTTTAAATTTGCCAAGTATGATGTATGTTTTCCTTCCTCCATAAATCAACTCTCCTCTCGGGAATTTTAGATCTATATATTGATCTGCATGGACCATTGTCCCTTAAGTCTTCACTCCATTAATCATCAAGTAATTTCCAGGAAAGGATGTTCAAGAGATTACTCACTCTAACTCTTCTAAAGTTGTTAACAGACAGCCATACTTCATGACCAGACCAGAGGCCACCATTCCACAGCAGTCACTACCTGAAAATGAAACTCCACTGATCGGTAGTGGCAATGCCAAAAGGCAACTGCCCTTTCCTAGTGAGCCTACAGGAAGAACAGAAAGGAGGGCCAGAGATAGCATTTCCAGCGGTAGGTCCCAGGAAGCTACTGTGCATCAAACTGGACAGTGTCCAGTCAAAGAGACAGGGCCATGGTCACCCAGGGAGCCAGAGGCCTCCCCGCCCCCCCACCAGCCCAGAGTCTAGACATTCCTTGGGGATTGGGAGTTGCAGGGAAGATGCCACCGGGTCTTGTCTCCAGCACAGAATCTCTACTTGCATTCTTCATGTAATCAGACTGCTTGAAATTACACCAATTAGATATTCATTTAGGAGATGATGGCTATCAGTCATTTACACATTGGTGTAACTGAGATTCAGGCCATTGTTTTTTCCCTTAACACATCACTATAGTGAATTATTTTTCTCTTAACACAGACCCACGAAGAGAGGTTTTGAAGAAAAGAAGCAGGCAGAACGAAGTGGGGAAAGTTGGCTTTGGAGACCAGGCATTATTAAGCATGGAGAGTTAGGGCTGGGAATGCCTCAATCCCATCAGGAGAGAGCTCAGAGCACCAGGAAAAAGGGAGGGTGTTGCCAGAGGTAAGAGACTTACAGACTGGAAGGTTAGAAGAGCCAGGTTAATGCCCAAAGGAAGAAGACAGCCCCACGAGCACCCTGCACCGGAGAGCCTGATGGAATGGGCCAGTGAGTGGTGTGCGTGCAGCCCCAGTACAGCCATTAAGATACTGAAATGCAGACCCATAGCCCCACGTCTGAAATCACCAGGTCTGGATGTGTCCCAGGATTCAGACTCTTTCTGGGTTTTAGAAAGGCAGTACAGGGGGTTGCCTGGGTGGCTCAGTCGGTTGAGCGTCCGACTTCGGCTCAGGTCATGATCTCATTTGTGGGTTCAAGCCCCACATTGGGCTCTATGCTGACAGCTCAGAGCCTGGGGGCTGCTTCAGATTCTGTGTCTCCCTCTTGGCCCCTCCCTGCTCACACTCTGTGTGTCTCTCTCTCTCAAAATAAATAAACATTGAAGAAAATTAGAAAGACAGTACAGTCAAGGCATCATATAAATAGCTTCACATCAGTAATGAAACAACAAATGTTGCTTCTTGGATTTCAAATTTGCAGATAAGAGCTTTGAAGCTGTATATCTGTACTGATTGATAAACAGCCCACAAGCTCTTCCACCACCAGGGCACACACACTGAGCCCCACCATCCAGCAGTTAAAAGGTATTGCCCATCCCAGCCAGAAGCCTTGGGCCCCTACTCCAACACCACTCACTGGTGGGTCCAGATACTGTGTGTTCTCAACCTTCAGGCTGCTAAGTCTTTCTCCATAGTGAAGCATGTGATGATTGGTCACGGGGCCCGCAATCCCCAGAAGCGGCTGTGGTGCTGTGGGAAAGCCCTGGGCTTGTAGGCGAAAGGCTGGGGATCCCTTTTATTTCTGCCACTCTCTAGTTCAGAGGCCTTGAGTAACCCAATTAGTGCCTCTGAGCCTCAGTATGCTAACCTCAAAAATGGGAATATAATACTTCATACGGTTGCTGGCAGGATTAAGTGAAATAGTGTGGTTAAAGTGCTTCGTAGACTGTCAATTGCTATTCAAATATAAGCTATCATTCCTAGCACCAACAATGAGGAGAATGAAGCCAAACAGTGTATGTGAAAGTGCTTTGTACACTGTTAATACATACAGAAGTGGAGTGGTATTGTTGTTATGATGAACCCGCTACCCCAGAAGACGGTCTGGCTCCCCAGAGCTGAGGGGTAACCCAGCTGTGGAGCCAAGAGGAGCCTCCTCCCTTCAGCCCCTCTGTCCACCTTCCCATCCCAGTCCCTCCTCAGTTCCATGCTGTGTCTGGCCCTTGGTAAAGAGGACAGGTAAGAAAGGGCAGGGAGCCCTGCTAAGGGCCCTGCCTGGAGAATGGCACACAGGAGGGGGTGCCAGGGGGAGGCGGCCCTCAAGGCAGTGAAACCCCTTTGATGGACCCTCAGTAGCCAAAACCCAGCCAGCTCCCTGCAGCCAGAGCATCTGTGCTCAGATGCCAGCCCAAGTTCTCCTGCTCAGCCTCCTAACTGTCTGAGCACTGGGGTCCACAACTGCACCTTGAGAGTAATGATGCCCTACTTCAGGGGGTCATGGAGAGAAATCAGTGGGGATACACACAGAGACCCTTCTACACGGCAACACAGACTCTAACGTGGCCACCTATTATTGGCGTGGGAAGGAGGGGGGTGCCGCGGTAGCTCAGAAGCAGAGGTTTCGTGGCTAATGAGACTGAGCTGGCAAGGTTTGCTGGGGAAAACCAGACCCGTCCTTGAGAGGGCTGGGGCTACAGGCTGCAAAGCATCGCGAGCGGGCAAACTTCTCTTCCCTGGGCCCGGACAGCCCATTCAAGGTACTGTTGAGATTGAAAAGAGTGGAATCCCCAGCCTACTGGTTATCACATGAGTTCTTTCCCTTGCTGTGTTCTGTCTTGCTTCGTTTTTAATTCTAGATTTTTCTCAATTTATAGATGTGACTTGTTTGTGTGATGCCAAGCCCCGGAAAGCTAACAGCATGGCATTTGACAGGATTGATGTTGTGTGTTTTAACTGCAAGCAGCCCGACCCTCAGCCGAGTCTAAATCGAACACTCCAGAGCAGTGCTATCAGGGTGCACGCCCCTGGGTGTGAATGGGTTGGTTCTGCATCTCTGGGCCTTGCTGTGGAAGAGTCCTCACTCTCCCTGGCCAGACCCAGCAGGCTGGAATGGAGTCTGTGTGAGCACCTGAACACCTCATCTTTGAGTATGCACCAGAGGGTCTCATTGCATCCTCTTATTCATGACTGGTTTCCTTTGTAAACTAATTATTATAACACAGAAAATGTTTCCAAGAAACCCCATTGTGGAGACGAAGCTATGAAATTCAAGGTGTGAACAGTTTCATGCCGCAGACTGCGACACACACAGAAATGGCTTTTAGTTGCTTTCTCCTTTTTTTCTTTACTCCCTTTTCAATCCCACTGTTCTTTTTGCTGAAATTAACTGCTTTTTCATCGATGAAGAGAAGGACATTTCCTATAGGACGCAGTGGCCAAAAATTAGAATCCAAGAGGATTTTTTTTCCCTCCCTTGTTTGGATCTCTCTGAGTCACAGAGCAGTTTGACAAAGTGAACTTTTACCATAAAATAGGGATTAAACAATTTATATCTCATTTGATTCTTAGTTTGAGACTCAATATGCACAACATTGCATGCCATGGTCTGACCTATAAATTATCCTCAAAGATGATGCCAGGACAGACAGGTTGAATATTTAGGAAGGTATAAACCACACCATCCCAAATAGTCTCTTCGTTTATATTGCAAACTTTGACCTTAATAAATGTCTTTTTATTCTATGTAGAATTTCCTTCAAGGAGGAAACAGACACACCTTGTAATTTTCACCGCTTAACAGTAGCCTCATTATGTGGGCACACATCTCATGTGTTATAGAACAAAGCTGTACTAATAATATTCTTAACTTCCAATAGTAACCAAAACTCCAGATTATAGAGAATAAGGTCCTAAATTATCTGCACCTGCAACTCAGGTTTAGACTTACCATCTCAACTACCTAGGATGCCCTCTTGCTCCGGAACCTCACTGTGACTGTTTTTAACCTTTGACAGAGGCTTTGGGAAAGCCAATTAATGACTCGCATTGTCTCTCCAGACCCAGGGGGCAGGCTCTCCTCGCTCCTCCCCCAGCCACACCATCAGCAGGCCCATCCCCATGCCCGTGCGGTCCGTGTCTGCCTGCTCCAGCCCATCCCACACGCCTCAGGACTCCCTCACGGGGGTCGGGGGTGATGTTCAGGAGGCGTTTGCACAAAGTAAGTGGGGTCACTTTTTGTTGTTGTGTTCTGCTTTTTCTCGCAGCACTTAGGTCACCGTGGATTGTTGAGCGGTTAGAATCTTCGGAGCCACACTGTGGAGATGCCAGGGCATTCCTTGTGCCCACCTGGCCCCAGAGCTGATTGAGAAACTCCTTAGGCTAGTCTGCTTCTCACTTCACCCTCTTACCTTCCCTCAGCTTCTATCGCCCCCATTTTTTATGGGCCTTTGCTCATTAAGGGAAGGGAACACCTTTTACGGATATCCCAGGAAACTTTATAAATGTAACTTAAATTTAAATTTAATTTAAAATTCTGAAAGATCTTATTTCCTGGTTTATGTTAAAGCAAACTCAAATCGAGGTTAAACAGCCCCAGCTGAGGTGGGATGTAGCCCTGCAGTGATCAAGCAGATAATTTAGTCGTTTGACAGCTGCCCTAAAGAGTTGACCATTGCCTCTGTAATACAGGGCCAAAGGATTTGAGGTTGGCCTCCATGGCTAATGGATAAGCACAAAGACTGATAACTATAACAGTATTCTCCCACCCGCTGCCTTTTCCATTCACACACCATGGGTAGAGGTAAGGTCCTCAAGGCAAGTGACTGTATGCATTTGGAAATATTTTAACACGTTTCAGACTTTTTCTTGCCATCCCTTTGAACATTTACAGAAAGTTTGGGGGGGAAAATGCTTCTGCAGACCTTCACGCTACCAGTCTCATTCCCAGAAGTAACTACTATTCAACAGTTCGGTCCTTCTCAATTTTTCATGTACATATAATTATGTATGTTTCAGTGTGTTTTTATAAACATCTCCCCTTCTTTTTCACACAAGCAAGACCATGCATTGCGTTTTGGTCGCCAAGTTGCATTTTCTTTAAATTAGCAATATATGGTGAACATCCTTCCAGATCCTCACATATAGATCTAAGGAAAAGAGAGACATAGTTGACTGCTAGTTTTAAGGCAAAAAGAAACATAAATGTAGTCAAAAGTCAAAAAATGGACTTGAGGAAAACATTTCCAGCATATGTGGCAATCAAGTTTCATAATTTCAGCTACTCCTAAAGCATATAGAAATCAGTGAGAAAAAGACATCCTCAAAACAAAAATAGGTAAAGGTTATGGAAAGAACTATAAATTGCCAGTAAAGATATAAAGAGGTGTCCAGTCTCACAAATTATTGTAGAAATACAAGTATCACCTCTTGTCTAGCAGATTTTTAAAATATTGACATTAGCGATATCCAGAAATAGCAAGAGTGTGAGGAAAGAGACACTCTCATCCATTGTGTATGAGGGATAAAATCTTACATTTTAAAGGAAGAGAATGATGTACTCTCTGCTATGAAGAAAAAGGAAAGATCCATATAATATGGCTTTTTTTTCCTGAAAAAGAAAATAAGTTATACAAAAAAATTTTGAAGTTACTCAAAATAACTTTTTTTCATTTTTAGAAGAAAAAATGTCCTTTCTCTAAATCTGATCTTGAAGAAATTTGCAGTATTTTAAATCCATCAGCTTTCTATTAAAATTGTTTTATCTCCCTTGATTTTGTAATTTACATGTATTTGTTATTTTACATTCTGAGTTTGACTTTGTGAGAAAGTACAGGATGAAGTGTGGCCTATGGGCAGCTCCTGGATCAGAAGGAGTTCTTGCTGCCCAAGTTCATCTGCAAGTCAGGTGTTTGGAATCTTGAGCCTCTTGAGATATTATGTTCCATCTCTACCTCATACCCAAGCCAGCCCACAAATTCCCATGTAACCCTTCATGTGCCTGAAACATCATTGTAATATTTTTCTACCATGGAGAAACATAGCCCAAGTTGCAATTCAGGGTATCAGATGAACATCTTCCGCCCAGGTCTTAGCGCAGGAGAAGACTCTCCACTCGTCTTCCATGTTCTGGGGCATTCAGTGCTTAGGGTCCCCATTCCCCAGAGATTTCCTACCATGGTAGGGAGAACTCTGGGAGCCCTAATGACAGATAGAGGCTGTGGTGATGGAGATCGGAATCCCATGTGCTGAGCCACCAGGCCATGGCTGAAATGGTAGCAGCAGCCGGCAAGGTGCAGGTCTCCAGGCAAAACCAGACTTTGCATCTGTGTGAGGTTTCCTAAGAAAAGTGACTGTAGATACTGGTTTACCTGGGACCTTCCCAGGTTGTGCCACATCACAGTCTTCTTATCATACTACCCCCTTTCACTTGCAGAACTCCTCTGGTCTGTACAATAGATTAAATGAGCCCCTCCCTCATCCGTGGTCATGTCTTCTTAACATCGAGGCCATTGCCCTCAGTACAATGTAGTTTTTCAGAAAATGAACCAAAACACCTCTGAAAAGGAGAAGTCTTGGAGGTTTTCTTGCTTTAGGATATCAATGTAAATGATAAACCACACAAAAAATTAGGAGGGGGGAAATAAAAGCTGTGTGTGTTTTTTTTTAATTATCGTTTCTTCTTCGCTCAAGGTTCAAGAAGAAACTTGAGGAATGACTTACTAGTAGCAGCCGATTCCATCACTAACACCATGTCCTCTCTTGTGAAAGAGCTGAATTCCGGTGAGTCCCTGGTCCCCTCTCATTTGTCAGCTCTTTGCAGAGGGACCTCTAAGTGCTGAGGGCCTCTTCTAGAGACCTCCTCATTGTCAAATATAAAAAAGATTTTTTAAAGGTCCATGTGATATTTTGTTGGTATATTCAGATTTTTTAGCACTGTTTATATTTTGCTGGTGAGAAGACGATTGATACATGCTTAATGCAGAAACTTTGAAACCTGCAGAAAGGAATAAAGAAAAATACTAAAATTGACTTGTAATTCTAGTATTTGTAATATCTAGTATGTATAACCTGTAATATGATCCAGTGCAACATGATGCTAAAGTTATTTTCGAAGGTCAAATGTTTTAGTTACTAATTTGAACTCTGTTAACTTGAAATGCGTGGCGATTTGAATGAGGCTAAATTGAAATTTACCTTTGCAATATGTCTAAAGAAAGTTCTGCCCAGAAAATAAAGAGCATAACGTTGAGAGAGACTCCTTAATTCTAATAATACTCTACGGAGTATTTAAAACTTTATCAGCATGAATATTCAAATTAATATTTACCAGTTACTAATACATCTCGTTCGTCTGTTCCATAAGCCCAGTCAGGAAGATAATTGTCTGGCACTACTCTGGTCACATAGTTTGAGATTACAAACATTATATGAAATAAAACTTTATTATTAAAAATATTCTGGATTTAAGTTTCTTAAAGCCTCTATAATAAGAATTGAAGTAATGAAAATTGTTTCTACTAGTTTGGATTAATATTAGCAATGAGGATCAAAATAACAGTAGTTAATACATCATGATTAATGGCAAGTACCCACTCTGCCCTAGGAAATGATGACTAAAAATGTTATTCTTATTGTGGACACTTCATATACTATTGGTTTATAGTTATAATACATTGAAATATTAAGTGAATATAGTAGTTTAGGTTTGTATTTCCTAAATTAAAGTAATATTGGGACGCCTGGGTGGCTCAGTTGGTTAAGTGTCCAACTTCAGCTCACATCATGATTTCACAGTTCATGGGTTTGAGCCCCATGTCGGTCTCTGTGCTGACAGCCAGCTCAGAGCCGGGAGCCCGTTTTGGATTCTGTGTCTCCCTCTCTCTCTGACCCTCCCCTGCTCACACTGTCTCTCTCTTTCTCTCTCAGAAATAAATAAAACATTAAAAAAAGTAATATTAAGCAAAAGTAGGAACACTTTTAAAGAAGACCTTTGTAAAAAGAATAAAACAAAGTATTAAGAAATTAAGACACAAAAATTCCTGATAATATGATTGTCCAAAAAGACAATCCCATATACCAAATAATTTTCTAGAAATCCATGTCAGTATCAAATGTCATTTTGATAAAAATGATAAACTCCGATGGCTTATGTACAATAACTGGTTGATGTTTTATACAGCACAGCTTGACTTATGTTAAGTCTAACCCTTTATTTACCAAATCACAAAAAAATCTAAGTCGTTATTCATTTCTTCAATCATCCCTAACAGAGGTGGGGAGTGAAACTGAGAGTAACGTGGACTCTGAATTTGCACGGACTCAGTTTGAGGAACTGGTTCCATCGCCAACCTCTGAAAAGGCTTTTCTAGCGCAAATCCACGCCCGGAAACCTGGGTACCTCCATGGTGGCGCTACCCCCAGCACCATGCATAGTGACGTGTGAGTATCTTCTGCTCCAGAACATTCCTCAGTAACAGAACACTCGGTAGGGATCATCAGAAAATAATAACATGGTTTCTTAGTCCTTTATTTTGGAAAGGGATGATGCAGAAGAGGATGCTACATTAAATTTGGTGTTGGGACTTTTCCCCCCTCACTGTGTCCAGAATAGCAATAACCAAAAGTAACCAGTGCTCATTAAGAGCCTACCCCACCCAAGGTACGGTGCTAGTTGCATACAAACATAGTATTTAAAAATCCCTGCTGGCCTTCCAGGACTCACAGACTAGTTCAGGGGATAAATCATTATATCTTCTAAATTTACTGTATTTGCCCATAGAAGACCAGGTGATGCTGGAGAAGTCTCTATTCAGAATGAGTGTGAACAACATTATGTAAGCACTTGGAATTGAAATAAGTGAGTGTATAAAATCTCATTATAAAGAAATCCAACCTGGTCGACTTGCGGAGTATGTATAAATCTGACCTTTGAAAGACATTTCACAAAGATCTCTTTCCAATTAGGCTTCTGTAGCTTGACAGAAACCAGCAGAATCAGTGACGTCCCCTCTAGACTTTCTGTGCCCCTGGATCAGCTCAAACTCAAAGTTGACAGGAAAGTAAAGCTGAGAAACAAAGGGAGGGCTAGCTGGGACAGATTTGCAGAGCCCAGCTTGGGAGGTAAGGAAGGCAGGGAAGCAAGGGAACCTGGAAGAGAGTGGGCCCATGCAGCTGTGAGAGACGTGGGCAGGGGCTCACCAGAAAGGCAAAGGGGATCACTGAGCATTAAAATTATAGAAGTAGGGGGGCGCCTGGGTGGCTTAGTCGATTAAGCGTCCGACTTTCGCTTAGGTCATGATCTCGCGGTTCATGGGTTCGAGCCCCGCGTCGGGCTCTGTGCTGACTGCCAGCTCAGAGCCTGGAGCCTGTTTCAGTCTGTGACTCCCTCTCTCTCTGACCCTCCCCTGCTCACTCTCTCTCTCTAGAAATAAATAAAAAAAAAAATTAAAAAAAAAAAGAAATCTTTAATAAAAAAATAAATAAATAAATAAAAATAAAATAAAATTATAGAAGTAGGACTCATAGGTGGCTCATTCCATTGGGTGTCTGACTCTTGATTTTGGCTCAGGTCATGATCCCAGAGTCATGGGGTCAAGCCTCAAGCCCTGCAGTGAGCATGGAACCTGCTTAGGACCCTCTCTCTTTCCCTCTCCCCCTCACCTCTGTCTCTCTCTCTCTCTCTCAAAACCAAAAAAATTAAAATTTTTAATAAAAAAATACTGCAGAAGGGTGATGGTGTTTAATGTGAAAAGTTCTGAAGACTAGTCTACAAAAATGAACCGGCCAGTTTCAGGACCCAAAAAAGAAACTAACCAGAAGCCTTTCTGGCGCTTTGGATCTCAATCCAAGTAGTGAGTAGACCAGTAATAATGGGAAATTATAAATAGACGTGGTCTGAAAGCTGATTGTGAAAAGGCAGGCATTAAGATCAAAACAAAACAGTTATAACATAATTCCAAATAGCAATAGGTTGCTGCTTCTAATCTTAGTTCATTTTCTTGTCCTTGACTTTGTAATCTAGAATTATTTGATTTGTTATTCAAAATGGTGAATTAATTGTCATCAGTTTAGTCTGGTAAATAACATGTCCGTTTGACTTTTTATAATGAAGCATTTATATGCGGTCACCTAAAATCTTCTCACTCTGATCCTAAGATCCAAGTCTGTGGCTACGTCTGCCCCAGTCCACTGTCCCCAGAAGGCTGGTACGAGAACCAGCCATGAGCATGGCTATGAAAATTGGGGAGAGACAGTTCACAAAGGCCTTGCAAACCTACTTTCAGGCTGCCCCAAACCTCTAAATATAATGAGAACATGTCATACAGATATAAATAAACATGAACAATGGCATTTAAGTTCCAACCCAGAAACTTCTACTTACCACTCTTTTCACTTTAGGGGATTAATATCTATACTACCTAAACATGTACTATGTGCGTTCTACCCTGAGAATATTTTAGTCTTATGATTTAGGTCGTGAATTTATGTTCAGTCTCAGGAAAGGTTTTTATAAACTGGCACGGACACATGGAAATAGAGTCACACATTAGTGAATGAGAGCATTCCTAGCTATTTATTTCATGGTAGAATTGAATAATTTAAGTAGATTTCTTAGATTCAGAATAATTTTTAAGATCAAGAGCTATGGGTTCAAGTATTACCTTCCAGAACCGATGAGCTGATATTCTAAGACTTACTGTACTATAAAAATAAAGCACACAGGTGCATGTGCCCTACATATGTACATAATACAAAGAGGGTTAAATTATGAACAAATGTCCTTAATCAGTATTTCACTAGAGGGCTCACTTTCCTTATGGAAAGTGATCTTGGTTTCCATTAAAAAAAAAAAAAAAAAAAAAAAAGCCCTCAGATTGAAAAAACTATATCCTCCCAAAAGATGCTGCCTTTTTTCATGGTTGACAAACACTTTAAGGGCAACCCATTCCTGTAAATCAGAGGAAAACAGAGATAGCCAGTGATCATCAGACTGCTGTAGAAAAACTACATATGAGAATACTTTGATTGTGTATTTCTCCAAACCTCCAAAGTTTATTAAAAAAAATTTCTGTTAGGTAATAGAAGACACTGAATTGAAATTAATTGAAACAAAGAAGTGAATTAGGAGTCCAAGTAAATGGGCCCCCAAACTACAACTAACACTGGAATTCCACTCATGCTTTTAAGATTTGCTCGCAGAGGTGCCTAGGAGGCTCACTCAGTTAAGCGTGTGACTTCACCTCAGGTCATGATCTCATGATTGGTGAGTTCGAGCCCTGCATGAGGGTCTCTGATGTTGGCACAGAGCCCACTTTGGATCCTCTGTCTCCCTCTCTCTCTCTCTTCCCTTTCCAACTCATTCTCTCTCTCTCAAAATAAATAAATAAACTAAAAAAAAAAAAAAAAAAAGATTTGCTCCCAAACAGCCCTGTGGTCCATCCCCAGGGTCACAGAAGATGGGGACCCCTACGTGCAGCCAGAGGATGAAGACTATGAAAATGACTCTGTCCGGCAGCTGGAGAACGAGCTCAAGATGGAGGAGTACCTGAAGCAGAAGCTGCAGGATGAAGCCTACCAGGTATGGGGACCCAGGCCCAGACCCCAGACCCCAGCCCCCAGCCCTCACCCCTTGGTGGCTGGGTCTTTCACATGACTCAGAAAATCCACACCTTCTCCTTTCTTCCAACTTCCCTCTCCAGAATATTCTGATTGCACTCCTTACTCCACATATTCTAAACAGTAATAATCGTAAATACTTCTTAGAGCTACCACTCACCATTAATTCTTAGAAATTCTGATCCTAAAAGTGAAAAAGACCTCGTCGTCGCTTTAGTGGAAATGCGGTGACTAACAGTCTGCCCTCCTCCAAGATCAAAGGGAATGATGTTTTTTCTCACAGATTAAAAAAAAAAAAAAAAGATACAGGGCACAAGACACCCGGAAACTGAATAAGCATAAATATATCCCCTCCCTTGAATCATTTGCCCTCAGCGTCTGCCACTGCCTGCCTCATGTCAAAATAAATTAGTGGGAAAATATCAAATCTCATGGAGAAATGTGAGTGGGAACTGTAGTTGCCATGTTCAGCAGGGTGTGGATGGACAGATTTTCATATATACTGGGGTGTACTGTTAATCCATCTGAGAATTTACTGAACATAACATGTGCAATTGGGAATAAGTGTTGATTAGTAAGTCATCCTAAAAGGGATGTGTTTCCCCTGTGGAGTTAGCTCTACTGCGGTGTTTGCCTTGCTTGTATGTTTCTCTTCCCTGTAATTCACAGGTGTTTCCTTGAGGCTGTGGGAGTTCAGGGATGTTTGCCTGGTGGAGACCAGTGCCTCCCCCAGGCCCTGTGGGATATTTCTTCATGTCAGGCTTTCTGTCCAATAGCCAGATGAGCCTCTTCCACACCCTAAGATGAGCAGTGACCCCCTTTTACTCTGTCAGTGAAGGAAAAGAAAAGCAGAGAAACAGATTGCTTCTATTTCTCCTGTGTTTATGGATTGTTTTGAAATATTTTCCCAAGAAGAATGTAGCAAGAGAGAAATTAAATTCTACCAACCCCAACCCAACAGTATCAAGCAAAAGTTTTGCCCCTTTGGAATGTTCCCTTAGCCTTTTCAGTTTAACAACTTTTCAGAGGCCACTAAAATGTAGCCTTAGTCATAAAAAAAAAAAAAAGAAAAGAAAAGAAAAGAAAAAACCCATGACTATCTAGGCAAAGCTGTGATTCAACGCTACAGACATGCAAACGCTCAGATTTGCCTGAAGGGGAGACCCAGGGAGAATGCTCTTACTTTGCCGCTTCTATAACCCATCCACAGAAGGAAATTAGCCTGGATGAAGCTGCCGGGGTGTCTCTGGGAGATCCGAAGGATGGCATTCCTACACATATTTCATTTGCCTCTGCTGCATGGAGGAAGAGAGGGATGTGGTTAAATAATCAATATTCTGTTTCATGCTGTTCGAGGCGCCTGGTAGACCTCCCTCTTTAAGCCTATATGAGTTTCTGGATTTTGGTGACAACAGTAACTGAAATTCTAGATTTTTTTAAAGGGAGACAGTCATTTCATATAAAATATTAGATTTTTATTTACGTTAATGAATTAGGAACTTAACCTTGTATGAGTGAAACTAAGGGAAATTCTCTTAATGACTTAAGATCCAATTGGAGATTTTGCCATCTCTGGTCAATCTTAAGCTCTTTCTCTCCTTTCCTGTCCATGCCCTGTGACTTCAAGGGAAAGGCAAAGAAAAGGTATAGGAAGGTATGGGAGGCCTGTGCATCCCCACTCAAGTCACATGCCCTAGAGAACGGTAAAGTGGTTTTCCTTGACTGCTCTGTGAGCATATGGTTGCTTGATGGGTTGGAATGCTGTTTGCATTCACTGGACTCTCTCTGTCTTTCTGCATGGCTTCCAACCAAATAATTCACCAGCTTGACCGCATCACAGACTTGACATGTCACCTTTCTTGTTTGTGTCCTTTGTCACCCGCAGGTCAGCTTGCAAGGTTGAATACAATATCCTTTTATCACTCTCCTCTCAAGTAAGTACCATCTTATTTAGGAGGAAACGTGGCCACCGCACACTGAACTCTGATGCCTTGTAACCTAAATTCATAATCACTCTCTCTTAGGTGTTTCTGTGTTCTATGTGATAAAATATCCTCCTTCCCTGATGATATCAAAGAATCATCCCAGCCTGTGGACCATTTTATTATAATCCAGGGGAGATTTGGCAGACAATCTTGGGAATTGACTTTTTACTCTATTAATTAGGAAAACTGGCACAGAGACTTCTGTAACAGCAGAGATACCCCCGAAATCTTCCAGGGCTATGAAACCTCATCACCAGTCCATTAACAGCATCTGAGTTTGCAGCCTCTCTATCCCTTGAGAAGGAAAAGTCCAGGCTTGCTCAGCACATCCAGAGATGGGTCAGCTTCTTACGCATGCTGTATTCAGGCCCCAAAGATCATATGTGTGTACTTTAACAAGTGAAGGCAAAACCATGTATTATTAAAGAAAACAAAAGAAGCAAAACAGAGAGGAAAACTTCTGCAGCCTTGTATTTTTAGAACAACTAGCTGATTCAGATTCACTGTGGAATTCAGCAAGATACAGCTTAATTTAAAATATCATTTACATGGCATGTGGTTCCCCACCCCCAAGGACCTGCCTACATACATGGAAAATCCTCAGTACTATGTATAATGTAGAGAGAATCGCACTGGATTGGGAGGACCACTTGAGTGTAGCCATCTGAAGCTTAGACTCTGGACTCTAACAGACCTGATTTCAAATGTGGATTCTACCAAATCATAGCAGCATAACCTCGACAGATTATTAAACCTCTATGAACCTCTGTTCCCTGTGCCCAAAATATATCATGATACTTACCTCATAGTGTAGTTGTCTTCACTGGGGTGTAGCTCATAAAAAGTTTAACATGGTGGCAGACACATCATAATTTATTATGAGCACACACATACGTGCCTGGCACTAGGCTTAGTGCTTTACAAGCACTTTCATCCTGAGGAGCTGCTATAGGTATTTTGTAGGTATATGGGAACCCCCAGGACTCAGAACTAGCGTGGTCTCTATATTTTTATAAACAAAGCTAAGACTCAGTTATATGCAAATAATTTTATATGCCTTTGGCTACACGTTCTCATAAGTCTAGCTCATTTCTCTGGCACCAGCCAATGAATGGCCCTTCAGCTGTCCCCTATACGGTTCATAGTAAGTCCGCTTCTCGCAGTCTCTGGCTATCAGGGCCCCAGGACTTGTATCTACTTGAGTGATACAGTCTTTCCCACCCATAGATTCCCATAAGTCTACCGGACGGATGGTAGTAAAGTCCATTCTGGCTGCTAAATTTAAAAAGGAATATGTAGCTCTTAAATGACAAATCAACTTGCAAAGAATACATCCTGGCTCGTGCATTACAGACATCCTGTGTCAGTCCTCAGGTTAGGATTAAACAAGTAGAAATCATGGCATAACTGCTATTAAGGAATATACTTTAAGAGCTTTGAGTCCTTTTTAGTGTGAAAAGAAGGATGCGGCTGTAAGCATTCTAGTCTACCTCCCTTGGATTTGAGAATGCCACACCACATGCTCTCTTGATTCATTATGACCATAGTGAAAAAATTCCCAGGAGCTGTTTCTGAAAATATCTATTCCAGTTATAACAAATCTAGTCCCAAAGGAGCAAGCCTCTCCTTTAACAACACTTTCTTTCTCTTAGTGCCAGCGATTGGATCATTTTTATTCTGCACATTATTTAAACATCAGTAACTAGTTCTTAGAAAAATATTTTCCTTAAAAACTAATGAAATGCCCATGACATAAACGCAGATAAGAAGTGGCATTTGGTGGTTCTATCTAAAAGCAAAAGATTTCAGTACTCTAAAAGTTCTCGGGCCATTTTTTCAATCTTCTGTTGTAAATCTGGTGGTGAAAAATTGAAACGGTGTGGCCTCTGCCATTTCCTACATTGCGTACTGCCCCAGCTGACATTCCACGGGACTCTAAACGTGAACTAGCCTGTCACTAAATTAGCCACTTAGGCAACATTTATTTAAAATCTTATGGATCAATCCAGGAGCCAGTAACTTTTCATCTTTGTGGCTAGTTCTATCCTAGTATAATTTTTCTTGATGTACCCAAGAAATACAGCTGAAATCTTGGAACCATTCATGCTATTGAAATCGATTTGTTCGGGCTTTCTGATTGTGCTGCAAGACCAGAAATTATCCCAAAGCTGTGCTGATCCAAGGGTCCTGAAGCCAGCTTTACTGCCGAAAGTCCATTAGGTGTCCACCAAGACACAGTCCTGCGTGGGTACGGGGCAGAGGGTGGGACGCCAAAGAAATAAAAGACCCATCCTCTGCTTCATTGCTGTTTGAAGATAAGAATGCACTCATCAATACTAACAGGAGTGAATAGAGTAAAACCTTGCTTTCCAATGAGCCTCTTTGGAAGAAGCAGTGTATACAATGTCTAAACTTAAGAATCCACCAAAACTCCATTTGGGCAGACTCAGATCTTGGATTTGGCCCGTTTCCATCCCTCAGGCCGCACGATACACCACTCTCCTTGGCCAGCCACATCGTAACTTCAGAAACTGGGGTTTTTGACCATCAAAAGTGGATTTTTTTTTCTAATTATGGTGTCATTTGGATGGTAGGTTAGGGGTCTCATCTGCTTGTCAGGTGAGGACACCACAAATACTTCTGTTCATGTGGCTTCAACCCTCCAGATGCCTCAAGTCCCCATTAAGCAAGAGACTCAACACAGAGAATTCCTGTCCTTGCTTTCAGAAGGAGCAATAGCACACAGTGTCCCTAGATGTTTGTTCCTGATTGTCAGAGGAAGGGAGGACAGAGAGAGAGTGTGTGTGAATATGCGTGTGTCGGGGGATGGGGGTGGGGGGAATCCTAAGCTTCATAACCCTAATTTAGAGGACAGTTTTCATCTTAAAAAAAAATTACACATTCCTTATTCCCAGGCAAGCTATAGTCAGACAGATGATGAAGGTAACAGGAAAGCTGGTGGTGAAGGAGAGCCCCGCACCCACCCACACAGAGGAGAAGACACCGCCTGGCAGCAGCCTCCGCGGAGAGAGGAGCTCCTGACAGATCCCCACCCCCAGAGATGAGTTCTGCCGACTATAGTGCAGCTAACTTTTCATTCTAAGATTTGTAGTTCGTAGGTGTGTGTTTTGAGAAGGAAAAAAATAAAAGACTTCTGACTTCTGTTCAAAGCTAACTTTCCAACTCCATCTTCTGTAACATGGTTCGTCCCTGGTTAAAAACAAAAAAACTACAGCCACACACACACACACACATACACACACACACACACACAACAATACATCCCACAGGCTGAAAACCCACGCTGCTGTTACTCACGATGGCAGTATTAACAAGCATTTTCAACCTTTGCACATGATATTGAACCTGTTCAGTTTACAATGACAATATTAATACTGTTTATAGCTAGAAGCTTGATTTCTGAATTCTTTGAGATTTTAGTGAAACAGTTTATTATACGCTGTACATTTTTTTTTCCCACAGCAATTGGAAAAAAACAACCACTTGCAATTATTCACTAACCCCGAAGGATTTGGTACCTGAGTGTACAGACTCAGAGCCTGGAAGCCAAGAAGGGTCCTTGGCCTGCACCATCTGCATTTGTCTCTAAGTCTCTGTGAGCAGTGACTTGAACCAATCACACCAGGATAATCCAGTCTTCGGGGCTTCTTTCCAACTTGGGGTTGTTTTCTTTCAAGATACTCTAACAAATCAGCCATAGAATTTAGTGTAAATATTTTTTTTTTCCAAATAGATATCATATTCAAAAAAAGGCAACATTCAAATTATATAGAATCTAGTTTTTAAAATCAGCACAGATCTTCTTAAAAACTGTGAACTAAGTTTTGAAATACTCGTTACTAAAGCTGTTTATAAACCACAGGTGCCATAAGATCCCCAAACAGACTAAAGTTATCTCTGCTCTTCCATGGGCTCGTTCCTCTTGTTTTAGCTTTAGGGAGCATGTCTAACGCACCGCTCATCCGCAGGTTCCCCTATCAGGTCGTTTGGAGCCCTTCAGCTTTAAATGTACAGGCTTAAAGTGCGCTTGCAAATGCTCACTCTCCTTTTATTTCTGAATGTTTATTGCCTTCACTGGCTTACCTGGTGTTCTGCATGCAGCCTTCTGTGGTCATGTGCGAGGAAACAGGCTCTTCTAAGCCGAGTTGGGATTTTGCACTCAGTGAAAAGCCGATGTGCAAAAGAACTGTCGAAGAAGGAAGAACGAAAGCCTCTGTTGATGGTCCTTTATGAGGGCCCTCATTGGCGAGAGCTAAAGACCTCCCTTAGGGATTCTGGGGAAATGAAAAAATAATCTACTTGTTTCAAGATTTGATGAGACAAAAATCCTGCGACATATTGAATACGTTAATACTTAAGTTGGCAACTTCTCTGGAATTCCTGTCTCCTTTCAAAGAAAGAAGAGAACATCAGTTTAGAACAGTGGCTCTCAAAGTGTGTTCCCTGGACCAGCAGCATCAGCATCACTTGGGAATCTGTTTAGAAATGCGAATTCTTAAACCCCAGCCCAGGCCTGCTGAATCACAAACACTGCATATTGGGCCCAACCAGAGGTGCATTAATCAGCCCTCCAGGTGATTCCTGATGCATGCTAAAGGTTGAGAACCACTGCTTTAGTGTAAAGTTGCTTAACGAAATCTCTAAAAAGGCCTTATTTCAGAATAAGCAAGAACAGCTCTGAGTCAACCTCAGAGCTTCAGCAATTCGATTTTGCTTCCAGGGCTGGTGAAAACCTTCTCCCCCAGCCCAGGTAGTCGGTAGTTGGTGTGTGCCCAGCTGAGAACAGACATCAGGACGCCTTCCAGGTCCCTCTCCAGAGGGCTCTCGGATGTTCACGTCCCTGTGTTCAGTCGAAAACCATCTCCTTGGCTACCTTTGGAACAAAATCACTTGCCTTGGGGATAGTAAAGCTCTCTCAGTTGGCATTACTAAGAAGCCCATTCTGTCCATTGATGTACTTCATCAGACTTTCCCCAGAGAACCAGCCTGACAAATGTCCCTGAAAACCAGCTGACACCAAAGTGGCGCAACTGCATGGTTGTCAGATCTCATTGCACAGATGGGTTTTATTTTGAGTTTTTTTGGTTTTTCTTAATGTTCATCTCCTTTCTGCGGCCCGTCCTCTGTGAAACCAGACATCTCCAGATGGAGCAGGTGGCTCCTCGTATCTCATACTCGGTACTTAAAACCACTACATCCCAGCTACCTACATTGCTGTCAGCTCTCAATCATAGCCAGGTAGTTCTTGAACTTGGAATTCTGATCCTGCGAGTGGCATTCAGCCACCAACTGGACCGAGCTGACCTCTGTTATCACTTTGTGTTTCTCCATCAAAATGTGTCTAAGGTATGAACTGTTTGGCTGATAGCCTTCCCCCTTGTCATAGCTTTCATTGCCAACTCCATCACACGGTTGTCGATAGCATCGTACAAAGCCATTGCAAGGACTCTGGAACCTGCCACCAATGACCAGTTCCTGACTAACCAGCCACCTTTTCTTTCTCTTAGCTCCACGTCAGCACTGAGACCAGACTCAAGCACCCCTGTCCTGTAACCGAGACAAAATGGCGTGTATTGTTTTGGGTTTTTGTGTTTCTTGGCGGGTTTCTTTCCCTGGCTCTCCAAATTTACTTTTGGGACCTGTTCTAAGTGCAAACCCAGCAGGTTTCACCTGTCCTGTCCATTAGATACCATTATATCTTGCAGGGGTTGTTTCTTGTTTCACGATAAATTGCACATCCATCTCCATCAGGGATGATGGCCTATTAATGAGCACTGGTCTAACACAGCCAGCCTCCCCCCTCCCCCCACCCCCTGCACTGTGCCATGTGAGTGGAGGGAGGGAGGATGGAGGGCAGAATCTACTGTATGAGATTCAGGAAATCAGTTGTGGTTGGTCAGGATGCAAGTCGGGGTAAGTTCGGTTGGTCAGAGGGAGATGTGCTGGAGATTGTGAAAAAAGGATTCTTGAATGATCTCTATTAAGGCAGGGAAGGTTCATTTGTAAGTAGTAATGTGAACTGAATTGCATAAGAGTGTGGCCTTTGTTGTGATATACTATGTATTTTCTTATATGCATGAGCCAAACTGTTGCATCATAATTTAGCACTAATGTCTGCTTTTATTTTGGTCATCCTTGTCCACCCTTATTAGTTCTGGGCTGTTAACTGTAGATAGACCTTGTAAATACGGCAGCCTTTGGTTGCTGCAACCACCTTGGTTTGATTCCGCCCAAGGAGCCACAAACAAGAACTCCACTGTGTCCTCAGAAGAAAGGGCATTTTGACTTTTGAACCAAAAAGAGGGAAAAAAAATCAGAAATGTTACATCCTGGAGGCTAATTAACTGTAAGACATTTTTAATTATGACTACTGTAATTTGACACCATTTGAAATAACCAATTCAAAGACACTAAAGATTTCACAATATTCATTGGTATTGTAACAAAACTACTACTGTATGGGGTTTTTTGTATTGCTGTTAAGTATTGTTTTGTGTGTATGTGTGTGTGTGTGTGTGTGTGTGTGTGTGTGTGTGTGAACCTCCTGGGGACATGTTATATTTTGAAGTGATTAAACTATTTAATTGTGTGTCTATATTTTGGAATGGAATTATTTCTTCATTAAAAAATGTTTTTAAAAACACTATATCTGTGTATTTTATAACTTTTTTTTCAACGAAAACTTTCCTAAAGCAATGTGGAGCCCGTCGGTTCATAGGAGAAAGACAAGTCAGCACTTGCAGCATGAAGCAGGGCCTGTCAGTTGAGTATTAAGCAACTACAGCAAAATTTCTCACCTTTCCCTGCCTTTGGAGACAGAATTATTTTTGGAAAGGGAAAGCCTTGTTGTACTCTATAGGAGATGAATGTGAGAATAGGAATAGCTAACATAATTTGAGCTTGCTTTGTATCTGACACTGTTACAAGCAGTTTATGTTACTTGACTCGATCCTTTGAATCACAGCATCTAGCCAGGTACTTGGCAATTATGAGCTCCACAATTATGTGTTGAATGAATGAATAAATGAATGAGTGACTTTTGTGTGTGCTAGAGCTGGTGAGAAAGGAGAATCCTGGACGTCAGCGTGTTGAGAGCAACAGGAATCAAGTTAAGAGTTCCAAAGAGTGGACAGAAACTCAGGGTCCACAGAGGTAATCACTCCCTACATTCTCACCTCTCTCCCGAAAACTTCTGGATTCCCATGCACACTATGGTAAAACTATAATTGAAAATACAGTGCGGTAAGTAAATTCTGTGAGTTGTTCCAACAAGTTAGCAAAACTGAGGAGTTGTTGTGTGTTTTGTTTGCTCAAAGAGCCAATTCCTTTGCAGAGCCAATAGCAGAATCTGTGAATCTGGCTCCAACACTTCATGAATGGCATTTTTGGGAACTCTGACTTGGAATGTTGCTGAAAGTCTGTGCTCACAGAGTCTGGGGTTGATTTACAGCTCATGAAAATGCTATATACACTCAAGAGGTACTAGAGAAAGAAACCAAGAGTCTCTGCTCTACATCAAGTGCCGGGGCAAATCCTGACCTGAAATGACCACTAGTGGGAGCTCAGACATCCCCTTCCATTTGGAGGTGAGAGACCAAGGTATGTCCATGGGTGTCTGTCTAAGTGTCTCTCAGCTGCATCTCAATGCCTCATTCCCTCATCTCCGACAGGCCACATTTAGCTCTGATCCCTACCTCAGCATTTCCTAAATTTATCTAATTACCAAAGTAACCTGAAGAATCAATTAATCTGAATTACTGGTCTAGCCTTGGGTCAGGGAATCTGTATTTTTAACAAGTGTCTCAGGTAATATGGTCTGACAAATTCTAAGAACTATTCTCTTCTTGCTACTCAAAATGTGGTGCAAGGACCCACAGCTTTGGCATCACCTGGGAGCTACTTACAAATGCAGAAGCCCAGGCCCCAAACCTACTGAATTAGAGTCAGCATTTCATCAAGAACCCCAGGGAATCTATGTGTACTTTAAAATTTAGGAGGCACTGACCTGGAGTCCAGCTTTAATCCTAGCCTTCCAGGATTAGGTTCAGTTGGGTCCTCGGGGCATAGACAGGCAAGGCAGGAATCCTCCTTAAATAAGTGTCATGCTTCTCGAACTTACAGAGTTTTGATTTAGTAAGTCTGGGGTGGGGACTGAGATCTGCATTTTAAATAATTTCTCAGGTGATGCTGATACTAGTCTGAGGGCTACACTTTGAGGTGCCAGGCTATGGATTTCTTTTAAGGTAAATTCTAGGGACCTTGTTACTGGTAAGTCAAATTTGTGTATTTCTATGCATAGCAGGAAAGATACTCAAGTCTAAGGACGTGAACATAATGGAAGCTCAGTTGGAGCCCCTCAGGTAACACCGCAGCAGTTAAAGTAGACAATGAGCACTGGAAGCAGCTGAATTTAAGTATGCTAGTATGCTGTCAAAGAAGGATCTTTTGCTCCAAGAATTGAGGCCTCTGTCTCCATGATACAGAGAATCACCCGGGAGTAGGACTCCATGGTCCTAGTGGCCCCAGAAGGTCAGATTTGCAAAGTTGGGATAGAGCCAAGTGTGGTGAGAAGAAGCTGGAAAAGTTTCAGATTCATCATCCCATCAGAGCACATCAGCTACTGAGACACTCAACACCCAGGAAGAGGTTCTCTGGGCACCTTGGAAACCTAGACTGGGATTTGATGCCATGGACTAGGTTGGGGCACTATGTTGTGATGGAGCCACCTCCATGTTTGAGAACCCAAAGATATATAAGCAAGTATGTTCATGCAGCCTTATCTATAATATTAGAAGATAATGGACACTAACTAAGGAACTCTTAAACTACTTAAGGCAAAATATGGTAGGCTGGAATACTAAGAAGCCATAAAAATAATGATGAAGATATATATTTATCAACATGGAAAATATTTACATAAGCCCAGCCAAAAATCAGATCATAATAGAGTATAAGAATGATCCTGGTTTGATAAATATTTGAGTGCTTGTGCAGGAAAAATATACACAGGAATGTTGATGATCTAAATCATAGGACTGGGGGTGATCTTTTTATTTCTTCATCAGGCTGTTCCATCGTTTCAGGTTTTGTGCCATAAATAGAGGAAATGGGGGAACAAGTGCATGGATAAGAAACACCAGGGTTGGACACTTTCTTCAGTTCAGTAAGGCTACTTGAGTTAGCCAACATCTTTGACGGGCATGTCTAACAATGAGAATCTTTCTATGCCTTCAGTAAACAAAGGATTCTCTTTTTACTTAAGAGATGCTCAATAACATTAGTATGCCACAGAGCATTGGAAAATATGTGTATGCTTACTTTAAAGAAAACCAAATAAAAAATATCAGAGGCTTACGAGTCAAGTTAAATAATGACAATTCTTCATCCTCTTCCGAGTGCTAATTGGTTCAGTAATAGATAGAAACAAAGCAAGTGAACTAGTAATGCAGGCCATACACATTCCCCATGTCTGGTTCTGCTGTCTCAAGGGTAAAATGGGGCTAAATCACACTGGTGGTTGTTTTCTTTGCTTTCCAGTCTCCTAATTGTGCTCTTGAGAAGGAGGGCCGCTAAGGATAAGTCTTGGGCAAGAACATCTGTTGGAACACAAATGGCAGTAGGTAAATGGTTTCTCTGGCATTCCATTTTTCTGGAAGTCTCTTTGTAGCTGCTCTTTCTTAAGAACAGATACTCCCTGAAAATATCTGGAAATTTCTCTTTCTTCAAAGAGAAACTTACTTTTGCTCTCTTTGGAGTTCTTTTCCCTGGCAAATATGTTTCTTGCTGTCAGTGGAGTAAGAATAGACCAAGAAGATAAGGAGAAAGGTATGTGCTCAGGTGTGCCAGCTCTAGACTGAGGGAGTCCTCCACACAGTCAGTTTCACTCATCTGGTATGTGAGCCAAACACTTTACAGTAATAAAGAGTTTTCATTTGCTTGGATCTGTCCCCATTTCTATACATTGTGTGCCAAACAACATAGATTTATAATTAGTTTTTAAATCATAGAGGAAATTTAAAGTGGTATGACAAATCAAAAACACAATGTGTTCCATTTCCACCCCAAGTGGGATTATTGCAATTCAGTTCTAACACTAACTACCCAGAGTTAGCATACACCCCACAGGTGAGGGTTAAAGTTCCCCCACAAGATTGCCCCCACTTCAAATGCCAGTCACAAGTCTCAAGGGCCACCCACACTTCTGACTGTCTATAAATTCAGAGATTTCCAGAAGCTCCTCAGTTTTGCTAACTTGTTGGAACAACTCACAGAATTTACTTACCGCACTGTATTTTCAATTATAGTTTTACTATAGAGGATACAATGAAGAGATACATAGGGCAAGGTGTGCAGAAGGGAATGAGGATGCAGAGTTTCTATGCCCTCTTCTTGGGGAATCTGAGCACAAAATTATCCTATGTTCACCAAGCAGGAAGCTTCTGTGTCCAGAGCTTATACTGGGATTGCATCATGTGTTCATAGTTGATTAAACCAAATGAACTCAATCTCCAGGTTCCCTCACCTTCCTGGAGGTAGGACTGGTGCAAAGTTCCAATGATCTAGTCACATAGTTGAT